CCGCCCCCGCCGCCCCCGCCGCCACCCCCGCCGCTGCCGCCGCCGGCCGGCCCGTGCAAAGTGCCCAGACTTTCCATTGTCAGCTCCGGGTTCATGGCGCAGCCTTCTAGGTCTTTGGTGAGGCATCGATAGGCGGTGTAGGCAGCCTTCATTCAGTCCATCGGGGCCCGGGGGCGGCGGGGGCGGCGGGGGCGGCCGGTGGGCTGGCGAGGGGCGCGTGGTGGGGCCTGGCCGCGGGCGCGGGGCGGGCGCGGGTGCGAGGGAGTGTGTGCAGGGGGAGCGTGAGTGCGGGCGTGTGCCCCGGGCTGCGGGCGGGCAGGCGCGCCCGGGGTGGGGGCGGGGTGGGGGGCAGACGGGGCGTGCGTGCGGGGAGGGGGGGCGGGGAGGGAGGAAGGGATCACCGGGCCCCGCCGCTCTGGCCAGCGCGCTGCCTCGCCATGTCCGAGCCCGCTCCGGCGCCGACGTCTTCTGTTTGGGTTAGCGGGAGCTGTCCAGAGGGCTCTGGGCTCGCTGGGGCAGCCAACCTACCCTCCCGGACCCGGGGCGGGGCGGCGCTCGACGGGCATTGCGGGCAGCCAGTTAGAGGCCATAGCTGCCCTGTAGGGCGGGTCTTGTTCCAGAAACTACCAATAGATATGGAGGGGGCGGGGAAGCGCTTTTCACGTTTGGCTGACGGCTCGGTGCCTTTTTTTTCCTTCTTTGCTACTGGAATCAAACGTCAAGGAGAGGGAGGGGGTGGGGAAAAAGAGAGAGGGAGAGAGAGACAGAGAGGGAGGGAGGGAGGGAGGGAGAGAGAGAGACACTAGACTGAGAGCGAGGGAGAGAGATTATGTGAAAAATGCCGTGCTGTGTCCCTTTCGGGCAGCTGCGATCTAGGAAGAAGGGCATTGCTTTAGTCCGTTCGCCTCCATCCCAAAGCTTTTTTCAAGGCTGGTGAGCCAGGAGAGAAGGACTCCGCTCTGTGCTGGTGTTAAAAACAAATCCGCGTCTCTTAGCAAGTCACTTCCCGAGTCCCTAGCTGGGAGCCAGTAGTTAAGCCTTTAAAATGCAAGCGCTAATGTATCTTAATGCGCGGTAAAGTCCCGAGACTGCGGCTGGCACGGTCCTTGGGGCACATAGAACTCCAACGCCCTTGCTGTTCTCGAGGTGCTGCCGGCCGGCCGACGGCCCACCGGCGGCACAGGCAGCCGTAATGCATGCAAAGTTAACACAATAACATCATTTAATTACTCGGCGAGCTCATAAATCTCCAACTTATGGGGCTTCTGAAGGCCCTTACTAAATTACAGAACACAACTAGAATTCCGGGAGCTGTGGTTTCAAGGTGAACAAGTGCTGCTCCAGCAGCGACTTGGAAAGAGAAGGGCGAGTATTGGAACCGGTGGGGTGGGGGTAAAGGTGGTGCTTACGGTGAAGAAACTTCTCCCGGGAGCAGGAAGTGTGGAAAGTAGTCTGGACAACAACCGCAGATCTTCCTCCTAAAGCACGCTACACACACACACACACACACACACACACACACACACACACACACACACACACGCCGCGAATCCCGGGGGAGAGGAACGTCCCGGATTATGGAGGTGGTTAGATGACTCTCAGTCTCCACTGACATCTGCATGTTGAAACCCTGTTTCTGAAAAGATCGGAGCCCTAGAGGCTCCAGAAAGCTCATAGCTCTGAACAGCACACCTTCATCTTCCTAGAATTTCCGTTGTTTGATAATCCAAGGTTAGGAGGAAAGAATGGAGCCGGGGGAGAGAGGAAGTGGTGATTTCTCCTGGCCTATGTGGTGGGTGGAGAAGTGGTCTAGCTGGCCGGAGAGGCCAACACCCGGCAAAGAAAGCCTTAAAAGTAACAGATTCTTCCTAAGCAGGTTGCGCTCTGTTTGCCTCCGAAGATTCAAGCTGGCTGAGGTTGCGCAGATGTTGCCTTTGTTTAAAGAGACAGTAATTAAGAACAGGGTGGACATAAGTTTGAGAAGCGTGACCTATTTTCTTTTGATCAGCTGTCAAAAGAAGAGCAGGGGGTCTCCTTAAGACAGCCCCCTCCAACCACTTCCAGCTGTTAAAGAAAACTTGATAAGAAAACAAGAACAGCCTGGAATACTGTATGTGCCTTCTTGGCGGTAGAGAAAGGTTTAATTCATTTGGAAAACCGTTCTTAGTCTCAGTGACCTTTTCTGCTGCCCTCCCCTCTCTTCTAGCTATGGAGACCTCGCTCCCATCCTGTCACATGAATGTATAGTGACGGTATTCATAGATCGACTTTATTGAGCTCTGGCCAATACTTCGACAATTATTCCTTCAAATAGTGTCTTCTCTGTGATACCAAAGCCGGGGTAAGAAAGCAGCAGATCCCTGATAAGCCAGACATAGTTTTCTGGCTGCTTGCATCTTTAGTATGATAATTAAAATGACTCAATTTTTTTGCCTCAGGTTTACCCTCCTCCTTGCCCTCTTCTGTGTTTCTTTCCACTCCCTACATTATATTATAGTGACTGGACACTTGGGATAATTCGAGTCAGTTAATGTTTGAAATACACACAGAGTGAAACAAAAGTTCACAAAGTACAGCCTGCTGTTTGTCACCCAGTGCTCAATGACTGAAATAGAGCAGAAGATGGGCCAAGAAGGGTCTATCTGATGGACCTCAGTGCTCAAAGTAGGCTCCAGGGTCCTGGATTCAGGGTCACAGAATGGCCAGTGACCCCAGGCTGGTGCTGCCTTCAAACAGAAACCTAAGTATATAAATTGCCATTTAAATAATTTTTCAAAATGGTAAACTCATTTAGCAGGCCACCAAGATAAATCTGCTCTTGGGAATTGCATCTCCCCGTGCCTGGGAGCAGAAAGGTGAGTTGCAATTTCTCGACACCGAGCTTCCTTTCTCCTTTTATCTCCCTCCTCCTCTCTCTCTCCCACCATCCCTCCCCCTTCCCTCGATCAATATTGGCGATCTCAGGGAAATCATGAAATCGTATTGGCTTCTTTGTATATAATTTCATTGGGCTAGATTAAAGCAGATTTTTCATGTTTTCTAATGGTGGTTTGAGGTTTTATGTCTTAACCCAAAATCCCATTTAAAAGGAAAATGAAAGTGCTTGTTTAGTCAGCACCCTAATTTTTACTGATTTAGGTTTAGATGCCCTTTTTCCTTTCTTTTTAAAAAGGGAAAATATTTATTTTCTGGTTCAAGATAATTTAAGAATATCAATACTAATAAGATTTTCGAATATGTTTTGAGATAACTTTGATATTTTTTCTCTATAGTTAAGAAAATTGAAAAGAAATGTTGCTTTCTAACCAATCCTTGCTTAGACGTCCATACCCTAACCTTCATAAGTTCTGTAACTCAAAATTTTGTCCTTTGATTTAAAGTTATAATCTGGCTCTCCCTCTTCTCCCACCACCATTTGATTCACAAACAGACAAGATGGAAGTGTGGTGTCTTAAGTGCTAGTCCCTTACTTTCAGAATCTGGACAACTGTACCAAGTAGCCATCGGAGTAGCTTAAATTTAAATGGGTCAAAAGAATCATATAAATAAAATGCAGCTTCAACAACAAACACAGGTTATTGCGTTGTAAAAAAAAATCTGATTTTAAGTTAGCAATTGCAGGAAAAGACTGAATATTTTATTGTCCCTTTTTCATATATATTCTCTGCATTAAAATTGTTATAAAGGGGAGGAGGGAGAAAAAAAGAAACTATAAATTATTCACACGCGCACGCGACCTTGCACGTGCACGAACCCCCCCCCCAACACACCACAATTAAACTCAATCTGAATAAGGACCCAACAGCTTTGTTTTTACTAAACAGTAACCATAGCCCAAATCTAGGGCTGGGTTATTTCTACCCAAATGCTCAAAATCTCTTCAGGTTTTGTGTTGGTCAGAACATATTTGTGCTACAGCTAGGTTTATCAGAGCAATACAAAAAGACATAATGGCGGGTTGATTTGGACCATTTTATTTTTGTCCTTCCCCAAACCATCTGGCGTGTGAGTGTAGGGGTATTGATCAGGATCTGTGAGCTGCAGACCCCATGCCAATCCATAGCGTTTCTGGCAATCAGCGTCGCCCATGAATTGCAGCTGTCTGTGCAGCTCCCGAACAGAAATCTTCAAAAAAAGTCCCCCCCTTATCAAACACATCATCCATTCGGGGGTAAGTCAATATCATTTCTTTGTCATTCTGTGAGTGAGGATTATGCAGGAGAAAGTTTTTGTTGTCTGTGTAGCTGCTGCTGCTGTGCGGGCCTTTTTTTTTTTTTTTTTTTTAAAGGAAGGAGAGCAATTTTCTAGCCATTGAATGGTAATGGTTTTCCAGAAAGGCCTCAAGCATTTGTATGAATCGGACAACAAATGCTGTTTCAATATTGTGGGGGAATTTTAAGAAGAGAAAGAAATTCTCATGTTGCTATACACAAATAATAGTCGTGATAATTGAGGGTTCCTTTTAACGATGGAGAATTTTCTCCCCTTTTCTCCAAGCCCCTGGTAATGAAGACCCCGTAACTCTGTGATTACACGTGCAGATGGACAGTGGGTTTGTGGAGGAAAAGGGGCCTTCGGAATTGTGACTCTGTTTGATATCTCCATTAGCTTCAATTTTCCTCTGTCTGAAAGCTTGGGCTGGTTGAGCACAGGAAGAAGAAAACTGAAGCCAAACCTCAGTTGGACTAAACTCCCTTTGGTCTTTCAGCTTAGAGATTCACTGACACTTCCCAGATTTCCAGGTGGATCTAGGAAAGTTAAATAAAGAAAAAAAGTTTTCTGGATGGTGAGGACAATCAAGTCCTTTGTGGTCTTCTTCTTCCTCCTCGGGGTTGGTTTTGTTAAAATCTCAAACTGCAGTTCAGGAGAATTTGCAGGGGACGACACCCCCAACTTTTCGGTTGGCAAAATACACTTAGTGGGGAGTTGGAAAGAGAGTTTGGGTTTGCTAAGCTTCCTCGCCCACAGCTGGCCTCCTTAGGGGGAAATGAAGCTTAAGGGAGCCCTGTCTGCCTCGGATAGGTTCTCTCTGAATCCCAAGCCCAGCGCCTGGTTACAAGGTGGAGAGTTGGGCTTTGAGCTGCAAGACCTACAATTTCCTCTGTAGTCCACAAGCGGGGAGTGAGTGGGCTCAAGGGGGGGGGGCGGGGGCTCGGTCCAAAGAACTTTAGCACTTGCTCTGGGGTGATCTGTGTACAGGGGCAGCCGCACCCGGTGTCCCGAGCCGCCAAGCTGAGCTGCCAGCGCGTCCACCTGCCTAGTTTCAAAGACAGCCAGGGACTCCGTCGGCTGACCTTGGTCGCCCTCTACTCCCTGTTGGATTTTGGTATCCTCTGTCACACACGTACGCACACGCACACTCAGACACCTGCACGAAGACATTTCTTTGCTTCCCCTCACCCCGCCCTCCCTGGGGCTCCGGATCCCTCCCTCCTGGAGGAGTTTGGGTGGGCGCGGGGACCCAGGCCTCTGATCTGTAGCAGTCCCGGGACTGAACGTGGAGTCTGCGGACCCTGCCGAGGCACTTTCCTTCCTTGGAATTAGGGCCCCGCCGCAGAACCTTTCTGCCCTACCCTTTTCCTGTTGTTTTCTGGACTACTAACACTGCAGAAGCTGGTGGGAGAAATAATTTTCCTCTTTGGGGAAGACGTAATTCAAAAAAGTCAGTGAGGAAGTTGAGGATTTGAAACTTAGAACAATCCAGGACTAATTTTTTGGGGGGGAGATATTTTCCAAGAGCAGGTATTTTTCTCTAACCGAAGGTTGCAGTTTTAAATAAGCAACTTGTTAGCCTTGAGGACGAAGACGAATTCTCCCTTCCTCGGCTTTCAGTTCCCCTACCACTGTTATCCATCCCCACGTCCTCAAAGTCCCAAAGCCTCGATTTTTAAATTTTAAATTGTTTAGATCCGCCATCTTATTGCCTCTTTCATGGTTTCCAAAGTATAACTCAAATATGCTTAAAATAAAGTTTTCCTCTCCCCCAGTTGTCATCCCACAAAAGAAGAACTGGCGTGAGGTCCCTTTGTTCAGGTCAAGTTGTGCGTGAAATCTTTTTGTTGTCCGTTCCAAAGGAAGGCAAAAGTTGCAGTAGATTGTAAAAAGGACAAATTTAACTCCCTGAAAGTGGAGCTGTTTTCAAGTTGCCGGAGACACTAAGGACACTAAGAACGGGGCGTCGCTTTTAAAATTTATTGCACTCTAAAAAACGACCACTTATTTGTTCTGGAACTAACATATTTGATTGAAGATTCAATATTGTTTAGGGATTTCTACGAATACCTAGTAGTTTCCCTCTCAATTCAAGTAGGATAGTTTAAAAAATCTTTGTGTAAAATTACAGTTGTCCATCTAACATGGAAAACATTTTTATGTTTATAGAGTATTAAAAAAAAAGAGTCGGCCGGCTTTTAAACTTGAGAAATATTGTTTCCGATTTAAAAGGATAATATTTCTAGTTGAAAACTAACAAAACCAATCGAGGCGTTTAAAATATTTATATGACTCAGATCAGTTTTTAAAAGTCGCTTATTGTTTTTAGATTTCTCGAGTGTCAGTTCCGAAAGAAATGAAAGAACCAAGTGAGAATTGATCTTCCCACGGAATCTCGATCAAAAGTCATAGAGCGCGTTGAGTTTATTCGGGGAGCATTTTATTATTGGGAAATCGCCTCGGTGTCACTTTTGGGCATTTTGAATTTGCTCGCGAACGTGCCGGGCCCGCGGGGTTCGTAAGCGTGAGGTTTCGTAGTGGTTCCAACAGCACGACTCGGTGCCCACGGCCCAGAAGAACCAGCACCGGGCCGGTCGAAAGAAGCGGAGCTCCGAGGGTCGGGGGTGCGCTGCGGCCCGGGGAGACCTGTTGGCCTCGAGGCGGCGGCGTCCGCGCAGACCCGGGCCTGCGGGTGGGGGCCGGCGTCGGGGCCGCCGAGGTGGGCGGCCCTGAAGTCGGTGCTGCCGCTTCCCTGGGAGGGGGCTGCGCGGCCCCGCAGCTCTGGAGGCGGAGGGAGCCGGCCAGGATTGATGTCTAAATCAATGCCGTTTCTAGGCGCTTCTCCCTGCTCCTCTCCATCTTCCTCAAAGGCGAATCACCTCCGCAGAGTGAATTTCCTCTCCCTTCGCAAAGTCAGCGTGAGGAGGAGGTGTCAGCGAAGGCCCGCCACAGCCCCACGCGAGGCACCTGGGTGGGGTTGGAATCCGCGCCAAAATGGAGGGCGGTTTGCCGGGCTGGGAGCGAGGCCTCGGCCTCCCTCTGCCCCGGCGCCCGGCTCACACCTGGCTTCCCTCGCGCCCGGAATGGCGGCCGGGCCTGGCCGGTCCTCTCTCCGCCCTCCCCGCGCCCCACGGACACCCAGTTGGATGGGCTGCGGGAGGGGAGCCCCCTAGTCTCCGACGCCAGTCAGGCCTGGCTGCCCCTGATTTAAATATTCACTGATGAATTAGACAGCTGCAATTGTCGTGAAATAGCGGCCACTATTGATTCCAGGGCCGATGGGGGTGGGGAGGCCGCGGGGAAGGGAAGAAAGTCGGTCCCGGCCCTCGCATACCCTCGACTGGGCGACCTCGTCGGCCCAGCCCCGGTCCCGGCCTCGGAGACTCGGCGCCCGTCCTTGCTCCGGCCCTGGTGGGGCCTGACGGGACCAGGCCAGCGCTCGAGGGCTCTTCTGTGCTGGGACAGAGGCGCGGGAGCTACCGATGCCCGAGGGCGGGCGGGTGACGTCTCCACTGCACCCTGCGAGGAAAAGGCGACCCGCGTGGGTGGGACGAGGAAGCCCCAGGGAGCGCCCGTGCCTGCCCCACCCCAGTGGGCGCCGGGCTCCGCAGCCGAAGGCCTGGTGGGGTCTGGGCGCTTCCTGCTCCAAGCGCACCCAGCTCTTCTAGGCCGGGCGTGAGTTCCCGACAGAGCAACAAGTCCTGTGACTGGGAAGCCCCGAGGGCAGTGGGTGGCCTATTTTCTCTCCTCAGCCCTCAGACCTAGGCAGGCATGTTCGTTCTGAGGAGGAAAAAGGTCAGTGCATCCTCAGAACGAGGACATGCCACAGATGTGTGGAGAATGCGTACTAAAGATGTCATTCTAGTTAGAGCTGCATAACCGAGTAACAGAAATGAGGAAGTATTTGATATGTTCAGGGTACCATGAGGCTTTGATTTTGGCATCTATATCAGAAAAGTACTAGAAGCCAGCATATACATTTTATGTCCTGTTCATTGGTCGACTTAAAGCCATGAAAGTTTTCATTTTATTTTGAAATTGTTTTCTATACTACATTCTTTAGCAATCACAGATTATGCAGGAAATATATAGGCTGTGTGAAGCATAAATATTAACCGGTCTTGAGTACATCAGCTCCACGGTTTCACATTTTTTTCCCCTCTCTTTTAAACGCTATTCTTATGTATTAATGATCTTCTTTTCTTGTGAAATGTGTGAGTTGAGCATGGCTCCGCGGAGGAGAGAGGGAGAGGGAGAGGGAGAGGGAGAGAGAATAAAACCTTACACTCCATTCCCCCGTGCATAATCCATGGGGGTGAGCATCCATCATTGAACACAATATGGACTTTCCTGTCTTGCTTACTTGAGTTGGCTTAATGGATTTTGTAACCATTTTTCTGTTGGGAAAGCCTAGTTTGGGGACTTTGTGTTCACATAAACTAAACAAGATGCACTATGTCAAATTCTTTATCAACATAAATTGGTAACAAGATAGTGAGACTCTTCAAGCAATTCTGAAACCTCAAGTTTTGAAACACCATTTGTAATTATAAACATAGAGAGTCTGTTAAATTTCTCATTTAAGTTATTGGGGTGGGAGAAAGTTTTGGTTGATTTAAACTTCCAGTAAAGTAGAGATGGGCTGGGTGAAGACCTTTTTAAGAATTCACAGACCAAGTAACTCCACCTGGTGAGGTAGAGCTATATGATTAAATCAAAGATTTTTGTGTTTGAAGGGACTTTTTGCCTTTGCAGTTTCCTTAGTGATTGTAGATTTTCACCTCCAGTTCACTTAATGAATGTAATATCATACTGAAAGGTAGGTTGTCATTTCTAGACTTCCTTTTCTTTCATGACCCATACTTTCCAGCTCTAATTCCCCAGTTAGTAGTCAAATTTTTCTTTTTAGTTTAGGGTTTCCTTATTACTTCAAATGATAGCTAGTGGTAGCTAACATGAAATTTAAAGGATAGCATACTTTGGGAAATGATGTCTAAACCTAGTTTAGAGTAAAAACAAACTTTTTTTTACTTGAATTTTACATTAAGTATGACTTGCTCTTTTTAAATATTGTAACTTAACAGGACTATAAATGGAGAAGTAACCAGATGCAAAAATTAAGATATGGGAAAGTGGAAATTGTAAGATACAAAAAATATAATAGTCAATTGAGTTTTTAATTTACAAAAATATATGGGTGTTTACTATGTGCCTAATAGGATTATTTGGTTGCAAGCAACAGAAGCTGCCTTAGACTAACTTAAAAGGACAATGCCTTGTTTTTGTGTCACCTCTACTAGAGTGTGTGTGTGTGTGTGTGTGTGTGTGTGTTGGATCTCCTAGGGAATATACCAGGCCTTTAGCTAATAGGGAGTGGAAAGGTGGTCACTGCATTCTCCCTATACTGTACACGTTAGGGAATCACCACAAACCAGGAAGAACTAGGAAGGGTATTTAAATAGTGGGCAGCAAAAATAGCAACAAAACAAACAAAAAAGTATCCAGAAATGTGTGTGAGGATAGAACAAGGAGCGAGTTAGACATGACCCTTATTCTCATGGATCTTACATTTTAGTAAGGTGTTGATGATAACTATTCATTTTTTGTATGACCAGAAAAAGAAGAAAATACCAAAGAATTATTCAGATCCCATTTCAAAGCAATGGGCTCCAAATCTTCTCCTGGACTTTTTTCTTCTTGTTCTCTTTTGGTATGGTTGGATATTAGTTAGGGAAAGTTAAAAATTACTGGTTTAGGAGGCCCTGTGTTTAGTCTACTACTCTTAATCTCAAGGTCAATGGGATCAGAGACCTGCAATCTAGTCCAGGTCCTATTATTGTCTAGCTGGGTGACAAAGGGCCTCTGTTTCCCCTGGGCATGCTCTTCAAGGTCCCTTCCACACTTGACATCTGATTGACATAGATCCCTTTTATGAAAATGGGGTCTTTATGATGAATGGGTTAATTTCCTGTGGACTCTTTTGCTATCCTAAATCTGAATCCAAGTAGTTTTGGGGTTTAGAGCCTTAGAAAGCTATTTCTGATGAATAAATTTATAATAATTGATTTCATATTCTGGAAAGCATTCATATATTTTAACGTAAAATTATTTTAATTCCAAATGAGCTACATCAGTGAACGTTTGTTATTCCTAAGTATAACTAATTTTCAGATGAAAAAAGGTGGAAGAAATAAAGGACAGAGAATGAGAGAGAACAGAAAATGTCATAATTTAAGAAGGTTAATGAGACCAGAATTATTTCAGTATTATGCTACTTCTTAGAATTTACTATAGATTTTTGAGTGGGTATTTCTTCTGAAGATGATTTTATGTTGTATGAGAAAAAAATTGACAGAATTTTATTTTTAAAAAATTAAACCTTGTTTTTCTTTACGACATGGAACTGTAGTGATATTTACTGTATCATCAAATTATCCTGACTGGGAAAGATGTGGGGACAGTTTCAAGGGTCATGTTTAAAGTTAGGTTTGTTACACAATATAAGCAAACAGTAGCAAACCTGGATTTTTTGCATTCTTAGTATCAATCAAATAAAAGCAGGTTAGACCAGAGTTATTTGCCTTGTAAATGAGCCCTCTGTATAACCCATTTTAAAAGTGAATAATCCTTTCATACATCAAATAATCATTTAAAAATATAAATACTTAAAACATTGATTTCTGCATGTGGGGGTTGCTTACAGAGGTAGGTTGTTGAGGTGGGGTGGGTGGACTGAAGCCAGCAGTGGGAAGCATTTCTTCTGTAGGAATTTCTTCATCCTTAATGGGTTAAAATTTTTCCATGGCTTTATTCTCCCTGCCACTTCAAATCCCTTTCATTCTTTAGTACTACATTTGTAAACTTTCTGGGTGAGATCCATAGTAGGAAATGGATTTTATGCTGCAATCCTAGTTTAAACAAATGTGCACATTTCTGGAGGGAAAGAGATTTTTTCCATTTATTTATAAATTGAAAAATAGAATTTTTATATATTTATATGCATAGCATGGTGTGTTGAAATGTGCATATATTGTGGAATAGAGCTAATTGGAGCTAATTAACCTAGACATTACCTCACATATCTTTTTTTTTTTGTGGTAAGAACATTTAAAAATCTATTCCCTTAGCAAATTTCAACTATAAAATATATGTTCCAACCATAGTCACATGGTGCAATAGATGTCTTGAATCTATTCTTTCTGATTAATTGAAATTTTGTACTATTTGACGGTGTTATCTCTCCAACCTCCCTGTTTCCCAGCCCCTAGTAACCATCATTCTACCCTGTGTTTCTGAGTTTGACTTTTTTAGATTCCATTAATAAGTAAGGTCATATAGTATTTGTCTTTCTGTACCTCATGTCTCTTAATATTCTTGAAGTTCATCCATGTTATCAAAAAATTAAGGATTTCTTCCTTTTTAAAAAGGATGCATAATATTCATATATCTATTTCTACATATACATCACGTTTTCTTTATCCATTCATCCATTGGTGGATACTGAGGTTGATTCCACATGTTGACTATTGTTAAAAATGCTGCAATGAACACAGGAATGCAGATATCTTTTTAACATGTGGTTTCATTTCCTTTCGATTATACTCAATACTGGAATATCTGGATCATATGGTAGTCATATTTTTAACTTTTTGAGGAAGAAAAGACATCTTTTAAATTCCTTATGATAGCCAAACTTATGTTCAAAATTAATTGCTAAAGCCCAGAGCCTTGCCTGATGGTTTGAGATGTCTTATTTCCTTCTCTATATTTGTTTGTTCTTGCATGCTTGTTCAATATATGTCATCTAAAGCTTGGCATTGCTATTTATGTCTGTATCCTTGTTTGTGGCTGGTTTTTATGGTAAATACTTACAAAGAGAAGCCTCCAGTGCCATATCATAAGGCTCTTGATCATATGTTGTTTGATATTTTTATTAAAAGTCTTTACTGCAGGTTAGATGGTCTGCTCATCGTATTTGTATGTGACATAGAGTTAATATATTGGTCATAGCTAGCATATTGAAAATCAGAATGAAGATTCACAATGAAATATGAATTTGTAACAAACCCCAACTTGATGTAATTTAACAGGGAGCAATATAAAGCCGTTTATTTAGGCTTAAAAATATAGACCAAGAGAGATCTCTGGATTGTGGCAATAATACATGTGAAAAAGATAGTGGTATTTATCTATTATGGGCTGAGCGTCCCTTACCCAAATGCTTGGAACTGAAAGTATTTCAGATTCTGGATTTTTAAAATTTTATAATATTTGGATATATAAAATGAGATATTTTGTAGATGTGACCCAAGTGTAAACATTAAATGCATTTTTCTCATGTACTCCATATACACATGATCTGAAATAACTTTATATAATCTTTTTAGTAAGCCCAGGAATTGACTGCAACCTGTCACATGAGGCCTGGTATGGAATTTTTTCACTTATGGCACCATGTTGATGCTCAAAAAGTTTCAGATTTCAAATTTTCAGATTAGGAACATTCTACTTGTATAAGTATGCAATGACCTAACAGTATTATGCTGCATAAAAATGTGGTGTCATTTTAGGCTGCATTAATAGAAATATGGTGTATAGCTTTCAAGAGAGATAGCAGTTTCTTGTACTTTGGGGCTGGAGATTTAACCGTAGGCACTTCATTTTTATATAGACATTGATAAATTAGACCCTAGCATGGGCCATTAAGATGCAAGGGAAGAAGAAAGCCATGCTTTACATGGAAAAGCTAGAGCAAAAATTCGGCCTAGAGAAGAGGCAAATGATGTGGTACATGACTGCCACTTCAAATATTTGCCTGTTTGTCATGAGGCAGAGGAGTTAGGATAGTTTTTCCCGCTCCCAGGTCAGAGTTAGGACCAAAGGGTGAAAGTGCTGTTTTTGACTCCAGTAGTTAAAGTTACCCAAAGCCAGGTGGTCACAGGGAGGAGTGCATTCTTCACTCATAAAGAATGTTTAGCGAAGGCTCATGACCACATGCTAGGATATTTGTAGGAGTCAGTGAGATAGGCAGCAGGTAGGAAGTGGCGATTTCTCTGATTGAAGTCCACGATTTGCTGAATTGAATATTTGAGAAATTATCTTGTGGAAGTGATTGATAAGACAAATTGAAGAGATAGATTGCTATTAATATTATGCTTGCAAAAACTTTAAGTATGCAT